TAGTTTGTGAAAATTATTTGCACTGTTTGTATTTTTGTTGCACAAGTCAAGAAAATTTTCACAATTGTTTACACTACTTGCTGCACTATTTGTGTTTGTTGTTCATGTTCAGATTGAATACACACACACACACACACACATAAAAAGTCACTTTTGCTTCAGTGTTCTAATATTATATAACAATGCTTCTATTTATTTTACTTCCGGAACTTTTCTTGACACATCTACATTGTCAGTAAATAAAAAAACACCAGCTTTTCACTGAAAATCGCCTATAATTATGTTGTAATAAATGGCTATAACTTGCTTAGAGATTGTTACATGTAGACAAAATTTCATCTGGAAATCTAGAATATCCAAGTAAAACTTTCTAAAGGAAAAAAATCCAGACTTCTGGAGGTTTTGTTTGAGTAAAAAAAATTTTTTTTAACCTTAAATCTGGTAAATTCATCCATTCTAAGACAAAATAAAAGTAAAATTGGGAATTTAAATGAGCTAGATTGAAACTTCAAGTTCTCCTGTTTAAAATGATATATCGCACTTGATGCTGACTGCTAATGTACGGTGGCCGAGACAGTTCAACGCGCTGCAACTGAAGCAAACACATGCAAATAGAGAAAAACGCGTGCAAATAGAAAAAAACGCATGCAAATAGAAAGAAACACATGCAAATAGAAAAACACGCGTGCAAATAAAAAAAAACACCTGCAAATAAAAAAAAACATCTTCATCAGTTTCACAACACACGTGTGCTCCAAATAAGGAAACGCGCTGCAAAAGTTCACAACACAACCAAATACAGAAAACACGCTGCAAATAACACAGACCACAACGGAAATGTTTCCAGGGGAACCAAATAAGTGACGAACCCGGCTGAGACGTGCTTATTGCTCGTGAGCTTCCCTATATGCCATACTCCCTTCGAAGGGCAGATTGCAGAGCCCTTAAAGTGGGACTGTGGAGGGAGCAGGGCTCTAGTGTGCTGTTATGTAGCCGTGTGGAGCGCACTTGATGAAGGGAGCAACTAAAGACAACGTAATTTCCTCATTATTTTCACCTGGGATGTTCCCATGACAACGCAGCACGATGTCCATCAGCTGGTCTTACAACAGAAATATAATGCTGTTAACATAACGGATGAAAATACATTTTTATTTTTATTTTACAAAAAAGCTGTTAAAATATGCGTTATATATATCTGTGTGTCTCAACTTTAAAAATTTTGGAACATACATTACCTAACATTTCTTACGAAACTTTTCTTTATGAAAATGTAATAACATGAAACAATTTGTACAGTGTAACTGATCTATAGATAAATATCTTTCCTTCATGTTTTTCTTTCTTTATCTTTATCTTTTTCAGCCCCAGCCAGCTTTAGCTCATTGTTCTTTTCTCATTTGTATTCTGATGACATTGAACATATTGTTAATACATTTTACATTGTATACAAGTTGTATGTCATAAAAAAATGTAATCTCTGTATGTTTTGCACAAACAAATAAATAAATAAACAAATAAATAAAGTATAATTTTAAGCTGTAAGCACCAGCACGCATAGATTTATGGATATCTATGCCAGCACGTTCCAGCCGGGTTCGTCACTTATTTGGTTCCCCTGGAAACATTTCCGTTGTGCTTTGTGTTATTTGCAGCATGTGTCTGTATTTGGTGGTGTTGTGAGTATTTGGAGCACACGTGTGTTGTGAAACTGATGAAGATGTTTTCTTAATTTGCGGGTGTTTTTTTTATTTGCACGCTTTTGTTTCTATTTGCATGCGTTTTATTTTATTTGCATGTGTTTTCTTCTATTTGCATGTGTTTTCTTCTATTTGCATGTGTTTTCTTCAGTTGCAGCGCGTTGAGCTCTCTCGGCCACCGTAATAATGGGTTAGAAAAACAAAGAAAAGTACAGGCGAGTCAGGTGCTCCAAAAATGTTCTAGGTCTTTAAGTTAATAAGAGTTACTAGAATGTTAAATTTACGTTATTAATTTGTTCCTGTGTAGTTATGCATTAATGATATAACTCGGGCTGGGTATCGTCAAAGTCCTTTTAGGCAAGTCATACCACTCGGCCGCCATCTTGGCAACGCCTCCGGGCAGCTATTTCGGACTAACAAGACCAGGCTCCTATCTAAATGAATGGGCAGAGAGTCTGAACTGCACTTTCACTGGTCACCGGGACATAAAAACTGCATGTATAGAAACAGCAGTAAAATATGATAAAAATCGCTGAAAAAATTTGACGACTTTGCCCCAAAATAAGGTTTAAAAGGTCTTTTTCCCCACAGGTTATAACCCTTACGCATGCGCAAGGGTTCTCGTCAGTGGAACCAGACGATAGACTTACATGTTTCCCGGCTTGACTGTTAAAAGCAGACGATTGGCTTTCCAGCGGGAGGGGCGGGGCATGTGCATACAACCGCCATCTTTGGCGTTACGGGTTTTCCCTATATAGTTGTATTGAGGATTGAGGAAGTGGCATGTCTCTATATAAATTGTCTCTGGTATCGTTTAAAAATTTATATCGATATCGATACTGATACCATGACTTCGATACCGGTTCCTGAACGATACTTTTTTCTATACCAATTTTATGAACAGATAATGTTATAGCAGAGGCTGTAATACTAATGTGAAGAGGGAAAAATAACAAGGCTAAACTGTTAATGCAGCTAACCTTAAGGATAAGCACACTTTACAAGATGCCTAGTTTAATGTGAGTTAATTACGTTTTCCCGTTAAAATTCTTCTGGATTCCTAAATCGGTCGGTGCCTAAAAAGTATCGAACTCGATACCCAGCCCTAGATATAACAGTATTCTAAAGTGTTATCACATACACATTCCAATATTTTAACCGCAGTTTATCGGTTTATTTTATATATATATATATATATATATATATATAATTAATTAATTGTAACAGTATTACAGTACTAAAATCCTCAAAGCTGATTTTCACTTAGTGAGACGTAAGAGTGGACAGTACTGGAGACAGTAGCGCCAGTTTTATTTACCTGGAAGAGTGGACTAATACACAGGGCTGTAATATCTGATGAAATATCAGACTGCTGGATAGTGCTATTGACCAATCAGAATCGAGTAATTAGTGTAGTGTAGTAATAAATATTACATCACTTTTCTTGTCCACTCCACTCTTTCTTCACATCCTGGCTGTCTTTCTCCAAAGCTGTTCTGCTCACTTCTTTGTGCTGTTGTCTTGATGTGATTGGTAGCTTTTCACTCCCGTTCCATTCACTTTATTATACCTCAAAAATGAACCTGCAGCTCACTGCTCCATTTTAAATACCACATTCAAATCTGCTCCCGTTCACAACCCTTTGAAATATTAAACACATAGAGAGAGGGAGGGGGGCGCCCACCAGCCCATGGATCAATATTTGCGCCTCGACGCGAAGCAATAAATATTCGATTGGTCAGAATATGATTATGACTTCTTAGCTCTAAGGGAGGATTTAATGACTGCTGATAATATAAGGCGGCACATTCCATTCTTTTTTTCATGCATATTCTCTCAATTTTTCATCTTTCTTTTCTCTTTTTTGGTGATAAAAGGCCATGCTTCTGAATATGTGAAGTCTAAAGTAGTGCATGTTTGTACTTGCACTGGGTTTATAAGGAAATTGTGTGGAATAATACTGGGCTTTAGATTCAGTGTTTGATCTTGTTTATCATTCACACTTTCAGAACTGAATGGTGTTATTTTGGTTCTGCTTAACACTGCATGTAGCCTGTAAATCTAATAAAATAAAGAAGGATGATGAATGGAATTTCATCCAGTATAGGAAATTGTTATGAAAAGCAGTTATGCAAACTAGTTCAATAAATCTGAATATTCAAACAAATGTAAATAAACAACTCTGATTATATTAAAAAACAAAAATATGCTTGGGCATATTGATTTTAATGTATAACAACAGTGGCTCCCAAAAATATTCTAAAAATGAATGTATTTGGACACTTTCTGGTTGAGGTTAGTTCTGAGAAAATGTTTAGTATACCATTTGCTCTATACTTCATACAATATTCAGAGCAATATACAGATATAATATATAATGCAAAACATAACACATAGTGCAAAACAAAATGTTTTAAATGAGTAAACGAAAGTTTAAGAGTCGCTCATCACAGCAGCATACATACATGTAAATGGCTGTTTACCTCACTCCTGTCACATTCATTCAGGCATCTATCAAATAGTCCAAGGGGGAACATAGAGCTGTAGTCGAATCTCAAGCTTGAACCCCTCCATTAAATGGATACTCCACCCAAAAATGAAAATTCTGTCATCATTTACTCACCCTCAAGTTGTTGCAAACCTGTATGAGTTTCTTTCTTCTGCTGAACACAAAGGAAGACATTTTGAAGAACGATTGGAACCAAACAGTTGTTTGGCACCATTGACCTCCATAGTAGAAAAAACAATACTATGGAAGTCAATGGTGCCAAAGTTCCAATCGTTCTTCAAAATATCTTCCTTTGTGTTCAGCAGAAGAAAGAAACTCATACAGGTTTGCAACAACTTGAGGGTGAGCAAATGATGACAGAATTTTCAGTTTTGGGTGGAGTATCCCTTTAAACTCAAGAGATATCTACCCGTACGACGCTTAAGAATTAGATAAACATGTGAGCATAACTACTACTGTGTTGAGCAAGAGGAGGTGCAGGATATGGAAGCCTTGCACTGTCTGATAGCAGCAGTCAAAACAGATTCCCTGTAGGCTTGTGGAAAATGTTTAAAGGTGCCTTTAAAGCATTGTTGAGAAGATGTGCGAATTGTTCAGGCCCCCAGTCAGTCTGGGGTGAGTGCGATAACAGAGCTGGATAAAATATCGCTAGCACAAGGGATTTCTGTTAACTCACATTATTTTTCTATCACTGCATATTAACACTTTTGAGTGTTGAAACTCAAAGAACTTTGTTGAATTTCTTATGAGCAGACCTTTATCTTTTTCTCTTTGTTGTTTTTCCCTCACAGACAGTAACTTTGTGCTGGGGAATGCACAGGTCCAGTCTCTATATCCCATCGTGTACTGTTCTGATGGCTTCTGTGAACTCACTGGCTATGCCCGGGCAGAACTGATGCAGAAGAGCTGTGCGTGTCATTTTCTGTATGGGCCAGAGACCAGTGATAAGCTGATGGCACAGATGCAGGGCGCACTGGACGAAAGGCAGGAGTTTAAGACCGAACTGGTCTTTTACAAGAAAGGAGGTAGGAGTCACGTAGTTAACTACATGCCATGGTCCCACTTCATATTAGGTGTCTTTTCTATGTACTAACGTTTAAATTAATAATTTGATACAATGCACTTATTGTATACATACATGTTTTTACATTATACTTTTTTTTTTTAAATACCTGCATGTAATCACAGCTGTAATTACACTGTTGATCTTCCCATTACACCTTAACCCACCCTTAAGCCTACCCATACCACCAAACCTGTCCCTAACCTTACAAGTATCCCACCTCAATAGCAGCAAAAGTATATTGTACTTATTTTTTGATGCAAGTACATAGTAGGTAAGGACACCTAATATAAAGTGTGATCTATACCTTTGCCTCCAGCACCAAAAGCAAGTGACCAGGACTTCATCCCAATTCCCATAACATCCATCTTAAGTATCATGCAAAATTAGTATTAGTCCATCCCAATTTCCCACAGTTAATTTAGTTGTTTGTAATTTTACAATATAGTAATTCATCATTTATATTATCAGTTATTTAATTATCAATTATTGTTATTATTATTATTATTGAGTTGCATTAAGACCTTAATGTGACCTTTATTCAGAAAGGGAAAGGGGTTCATTAAGGAGGTTGCCATAAAGCAATTAAATTACTACAGGTCCACTGTGGATGAGGACACCAAATCAAGCCAAACTCTAAAATAAATTAATCACAAATAAATGTTCACACAAAGGGGTGAGGAACAGTGATGGAAGGATTAAAAATAAAAGAACAGAAGCAAACTGTGTACTGAATAAGATCATTTAAATTTAATCAACCCAGTATTTTCTTTAGATTTTGAAACAATGGATTTTATTTACTATACGGCTCTCTGGAATAGTTTGCTGAATTGGCCGATTCTGCTGTTAAATCTTTTATAACTGACTGTAATGAAAATTGTTTCCAACATAGCTGTGTTAGATTCCACTGTCTAATAAAAACTCAATTTCACCTCAAATCGATATTTCATGTGCATTTAGTTAAGTGGCAGTGTTATAAGTAAGACAATGTGAGTATGTACTGTACATGATCCCTTACTTATTGATCAACATTTAGACTATTTGATTATGAATTGGCAGTGCTTGGCATTTTTATGGATAATAAAATGTATGTACAAATTGAATAAATGCAATCTTGATTTTATAATCAACTGATCTGAAAGGAAAACACATTTACAATGGCTCACTTTAGGAGTAATCTTGAGCTAACCCTTCACAGTAGATGACCAAACAAATACCATTTCAGTCCAGACAATCCGTTTATTTGAACAAATTGACCTAAATGCCTGCCTTGTTCTTTAACTTGTGTCTAGAGCAGCTGAGCATAGATTATGATTACATCATAATTCAACAGCTGTCTTTTCTCTCCCTCACCGATTTCCCTGAAAAGAACACAATATGCCTTTAAACCAGCCTTGGATAAATAGTGGCTCAGAGATGACAATGATTTCTGATGGCTAGATGTGTTTCATGTTGAATGTGATACACAGAAAGTGTGCGGCGTGTCATATAGTTAATTCCATCCACGTTTTTACCCACCTGTGGTCAAGAGAACACAATTCCATCCGGGTACCAGGAGACCACTGTGAATTGCTGTGAACATACAGCGTAGATCTCTTTCAAACCCTATCAGACACCAGAAAAGTTAGGGAGAATCTGCCAGACATTTTTCGCAAAAGATTTTCCAAACACTGCAGCATTGGCAACTGATTTTTCACCTGATTCACTTTAATTTAGCATTTGTGCAACATGCATCAGGGGAAATTTGCTCCTAATTCAGTGCCCAAATTCAGAGAGCACACTTTGGGAGCAGTGTTGAGTTCGATTCATTCATTTGACTGGTTTGTAAGAGATACTCTGTGGGCCCTATCTTGCACCCAGCACAATTGACTTTGTACACCGACGCATGTTCTGTCAGGACCACTATAGTCAAATACGATTGACAATTAGCAAACAGTTTGGATTGGCGGTATGGTTCTGTTCTGGGCGAGAACCCCCTGCGCATCCATGCAGCCTAGCATGGATAAGAGCAGGGAGAGCAGCAATAACCCCCCAAAACAAAACCATATGCCAATATCCCCCAAACATAACTGACAGCGCAATTTTGGATGCTTTTGCAGTTACCTGAGTGACCCAAGGCAACAAGCATGTTACCAATACCTGAAAAACTTGGGGAACAGCATGTTACCAACAATAACGGAAAGCCTTACGCAAGTATGCTGCCCATGACCTAAACGAGTATGTTGCCAATACCCGCATCAGCCATAGCAACAAGCATGTTGTCAATACCCGAAATGCTTAAGCAGTAAACATGCATATTGCCATGGATGGCATGCCGTCTGAAATGAAGAAGTGGAAATTGAGATATCAAAATGAATCAGCTGCTTGCTTGTGGTTGTATATCCCCAGTCCAGTTCCAGTTTCTTTTGAGTGACGACTGTAAGCTAGAGATGAGAAATGGAGATTTCCTTTTCAATTATCCTTTTCATTGGAAATACTTCACAATACTGAGTAATGTTGGTGGAAACTTCCAGTTCACGCAGAATTAAGCAACACATGTCATTAATACAGCTGGATGGTTTAATGCAACAAGAGTGAATCTGATACATAGATATATTTAGGCACAGATATGTTGGTTTGCAAAAACTGCGTACACTGACACCTGTCAATGATGTCATAACCTTGTTATACTTGGTATTTTCTTGGTTTCTACAAAAGTAAACTACAACCATTTTTATTTTTTTATACACTACCCCCAAGACGACCGAGGCTGATAGAATGGTTAATACATCCTGATGTTAGCGGCATATGTTGAGCACTATAGATCCAATTTAATGGGGGAAGCATCACCCCCAGCTGGAGCAAGCAAGGACACATTGCAACAAGCATTTTGCTGTAGCCAATTTACCAATTGTATGGGATCTATTGGGGGAAGCTTACACCCCTAGCGGCAGCAAAATCTGATACAACAAGCATGTTGTATAACCGCGGAACTATTGCTAAAACTAGTGTAGTTTGGCAGGGGAAGCATACACCCTACAGCAATAGCTCCGACTTGCAGCAACAACTGATACAACAAGCATGTTGTATAATGACAGAACCATTGCTTAAACTAGTGTAGTTTAACAGGGGAAGCGTAGTTTGGCAGGGGAAGCATACACCCTGTAGCTCTGAGTCAGATGCAGTGTGCAGCTAAGCTATGCAGTGTGCTTCATTCATGCACATCATTTTTGCTCCCTACTGATTCCATCGGCTGTGGAGGTGAAGATGACGACTCCCATGATTCCACGCTCCTTCACAGGACCATCGAGCTACGATGTTGTTAGTGTTGAATAACAGACCTCCGAAGTGAATGTACCTACTGTGTATTTTGTATAAGTATGTTACCGATAATCTAGATAGCTTTAGCCACAAGCATGCGCTAACTTTAACACAGCATGTTGCAATAATCAGATAGAATAAAGAGCGAGTATTTTTCCAAAGCAACCAGATAAGCCTAAAACAACGCTTGATTACCACAGCATGTTGCTTCGGACAGTATGCGGTATAATACTAGAAGCCTAAGTAACAAGAATATATTCGATAACATTTGCACTAGCAACCACCGTATAGTACTGATAGCAATGTTGCTGAAACCTGATAAGCTTAGCACAGCATGTGATAATGACACCAGATATAAGCCTAAAACACAGCCATGTTCCAAATAATGACTGGGCTAAATAACCTTAAAAGTAAAAAAAACATGTTCCCAATAGCAACTAACAGCTTTTAGAGCAAGTAGTTTTCAATAACATATAGGTTAGATAGCCTTTAAAACAATCACATATACAATACACTATAGCTTTAAGAATGCCGTGTTTCCAAGAACTATATAGATAGACCAAGCGTGTCCAATACCCGACAGGATCATCGCTGAATTGACTCAACTGAATAATGACTGTTTACTATGTCTTTTTAGAGCTGTGCCACAGCAGAAATGATTCCGTTAGCAACTTAGCACCATGAATTGTTATTTCCTAACTATCACCGCAAACTGCCTAAATCTGTGCTGCATAGTGCTAAAAGCACTGCATGTGCATCGCGAGCAGTTGCCAATGACAGCAGATAAGTAACGCACATTGCCAATTTAATCTCATAAACCTAGCAAGAGCATTTTAATGAAAACGACTAGATAAGCCCAAGCACACGGATAGCATTAGCAACAAGCATGTTGCCCTATCCTGATAGCTTTTAGCAATGAGCATTAAAAAGGCACTTAGCTTGGCTCCGTGAAGACTTTCAGAGATGAATTGAGAGTGAATCACATCGAGTCCTGTGTCAATAATGCAGCGCTGCGAGCAGCAATGCAGACTGAGATCACTTCCAAATCAGGCAGCTTATGATCAATGCGGCGAATCTCGTGGTCAAGTTTATGAACTTGAATTAATCTGAGGTAAAATCCTTGTGGGGAAAGAATTCCTCTTGCTAAATTCCCAATTGTACGATTCCTTGTGAGATGATGTGGTTTGCCTGCCGAATTTCGCCATTTAATTGGCTCCTGTGAAACGCAATAGCTGCTGATAATACTGAAGGAGCTTATATATACAGTGATAGGCGTCGTATTCCTATAGGTAGACGTGGATCAGCTGAGAGTCAGCTGATGCGAGCTTGACTAACGTGACCTGCCAGAACTGACGCTACGCTTGATTATCATTCCTTTTTTGCACCCGACGCACAGCGGACTTTTCCCTCCACAGACGCACGTCTGTAAATTAGGGAATGAACTTGCGCTCCCAGGGCGGTTCAGCGAAAAGAGGAGGCGTGTTCTGGCGCAAATGTTCCCTGGTGCTATTTTGCAGTTTCAGAAAACAATTCCACCACAGACCAGGAAAAACCTAGTCTAAAGTCAGTGGCGCGTTATTCAGAAGCTATTTTAAGGGCGCATGCTTGGCCATAATGTAGCGTGTGCACAACGCGCATACACTTTGCTTCTCTCATCTACAC